CGTTCGAGAAGTTTACGACTAAGTATTTACAATATACTTTAGCTTTCGCAAAACTTATAAGCTTTTTGCAATATAATACTATTAGCACGGTATAGCCAGATTCGTTAATTAGTATTGCCGCAATTGCTACGCTTATAAACGAGCTTTAATGCTTCGCGATAAAAAACTTAATTTACTTTAACTTTTCTCGATCTTTTCGCGCTTTTAAAAGCACGTTACTATAGATTTTTATAGTTTTAATAAAAACAAATACAGCTACGACAACGTTTTTATAATAATCGACCGCTTTTTTAAGCAAGCAATCTCGATCTTTTATTACAAGTCCATCGACGCTAAAAGCTTCGCTAAGCTTTATATCTATTATATCTACAAGTATTTTAAAGCTCTTTTAACGCTGACTTTTAATAAAAAACCTTAATACTAGTCCGAGTTCTAAAAAGAATTTAATAAGATCTTCGTAACTAAATTAACCTTTAATACCGCCGTACATTTTAAGATTAACGGTCAGATCGAAATTTACAATTAATACTTGTAAAAGCGCTTCCGTCCTTTCGTAAGCTATTATTAAGACGATTAAAATGAATTCCTTTTTATAATAGACTTCGCTTAATTAACGCTCTTTTACGACTCTTTCGGCGGTCTTTCTTTTTTCGAAGTAATCTACGGCTACGCTTTTCGGATTGCTTAAAATTAAAGCTTAAAACGACTTAACGACCAAACCTCTTTTCGTAAGCTCAATTAAGACGAAGCTCGCGCTTACGTTAACCGCTACTTTAAAGCTTAAAACCTCGCTAAAAAACACCTTTAGCGCGCTTAAGACCGCATAGCTAAACAAGCTAATAAATTAAAGCGCTCGGTTGACTTCGACGTTAATAATAAAGTTTAATTAAATATGCGCTCGTTCTTTACTTTTCGACCGTTAAAAAAGCTTAATAACTTTACGAACGGACCGTTTTAAATTACCGATAACGTTTATAATAGCTTTAAACTCAATCTCTTCGAGTTAATAAAAGTTCATTTAATCTTTTACTTTAAACGGTTACAAAAAGCTCTTAATGACTTTACTTTCGAGCAAATCATTTTTAAACTTGACCCGATTAATATTATTAGCGAACTTAAGTACGAAGTAAAGAATATCTTAATCGTACGCTAAACTAAAAAGCACTTTAAATACCGCGCTTCTTAGCTCGGCCGCGATATTAACTTTACTTAATACTCCGCTTCCGACTTTATATACGCTTCTTTTAAAGTACGTGACTTTTATTTAAAACACAAAAAGCTCTTCGACCTTTTCGCGAAGCTCTTCGAATAGATTAAGGCTTATTCGAACGGTATTGATAATTACGATTACTTAAGCAATGATAAAGTAATAAATAAACGCTCGAAAACGAGCTTTTTTCGGACGAAAAGGTAGTATGACGATACGCTAAGTCTTTTAGACGTACTTTATATACGCTAAGCTACTTTTTTCTTGTTTTCCTTCGTATTCTTCGTATTCTCTTATTCTCCGCTTTTGACTTATAAACTATAGTTCACGAGTCCTTAACGCTCTTACCTTCGTATATATAAACCTCAATTACTTTCGACCTTTATACTCGGTAGTTGTTAATTCTAAGTCATTATTTTAAGATTCTCTTGAGCTCTTATATAAACCCTCGCGCTCCCGTAAGTTCCTTTAGGTAATCGCTTAAAGTCGTCACATCGATAGCTTATATTAATTAACTTTATTACTTAATATTGCTTTTACGCCGTTTGCTTCGTTAATTAGCTTAATCTTTTTATCTTTAATCTTGTATATATCGAATATTTCAATTGAATTCGAAAAGATTTTTTTTTAAGTCCGATAAAATATCGAATTTTAATAATCGATATAATCGTAGTAATAAGTTATAAGGTCATCGGTGTTAACGGCATTTATTTAGCAAGTTATTAAAAGATCGCATTTCGTAAAAGTAAGAATATCGATAAACTGCTTTTAAATAATAAAGTCGTCTTTTTTTTAATGCTATAACGTTTCGCTTTCGAAATTAAGCGAAAAGCAAAAAGCTTTTAATATATCGACTTAAGCGCTTTTAACGAAGCCGGTTATTAGTTTTCCGAGTCGCTGTTGCTGCTATTCGAAAACTTATCGTAATAAATAAAGCTTATACTTTGCTTTTTTAAGCGATCGACGGCTTCGTCGTATTGATTCGTTTTATCGCTTACTTTAACTTAAGTAATTTAGCTCGTAAACGGATTAGTAATTATAGCAATAACAAAGCTACTTTTATAATTCGAAAAGTATCAGAAATCGATTTTCGCTTTGCGTACGAAAAAGTAATCGAGTATAAATCGAAACTTTAACGAATTTATAACGTAAAATCGAATACGGATCGTAGCACTTCCGATATTACTAAATATATTATTAGCGTATTCGATAAAGCGCAAAAAAGAACCGGTGATTATTCGGAAGCTTATCTTTTGATCGTAAGCTATAAAAACTTCGAATTTAATCGCGGCGTTATAAGTGATAACACTAACTTTCGCATTTGTATCGAGTGTAGCTTGCGTATTAATAATTAAAGATTGTTTAAGTATATTAACGATGACTTTAAGAGTTAGCGAATAATAATAACTTACGGGCGCAACCCTTAAGTGTAGCAACCGAGTGCACTCGGTTGCAACACCTTACTTACACCTTACTTACACCTTAACGTTTTAGTATAGC